TTCTTTTCTTCTGAATGAATATCAGTTCCCTGTTGATGTACTAGTGGTTTGGATTCTGCTGTGAGTCTGTGAACTGCGTGTCAAATTTCTGGGTCATATCAGAGTGCTGAGAAATGAAGAAAGTAGTATCATATCTTTATTATTCAGGTCCTGTGGGTTTTGGAGACTCTATAAGGGCTGAACTGCTTGCTGCTGTACAAGGAATCCAGCTTGCGAACCAGCTAGGGATAGAGCATTTGCTTATTGAAGGGGACTCGATGGCTGACTCACTTGCTAACAAGGAATAATGACAACTAGAGTCCACTGGGTAGGCAGATCAGCAAACTCGATGGCTGACTCACTTGCTAAACAGGGAGTTTCTTAGGCTTCTTTATTTTGGGCTACCTTGTAACTTTGTTCATTTGAACTTGTAATTCTGTGATCAATCTTAAAGGAAAGGTCGCATCTCATGCCTTTCCTTGGGTTGCTTGTAACTCTTATCTATTGGATTAATAAAACTTTTACTCATTTATCAAAAAAAAGTAGCATTTTTCTGCCTAGTCTATGATGAACTTTTTTAATCAGTAACACTACTCAGTTTGAAAAAAAAAATCAGTAACAATACTCGGATTTTATCAGTAGCAAAGAAGAATTCATTCAATAAATAAAGAACAAGTACAACAAGAGGTTGTGAATTACAAGAAAATTAGCATGAGCATAGTCTCTACCATCTCACCCCTTCCCCAATAATACAAACAGAAAATTAACGTGAGCAGTAACACTACTCAGATTTAATTAGGATCATATAAGAAAAGGTGGCTCCCAGCATTTCACGGATTTTTATATAGAAGTCAGAAGATTAATACAAGAACAGTAGTAAGGAAAGGTCAGTGATCAGGTGGGCCAGTATATTTGCAGTGTGTTGGTATATTTGGATGGAATGAAACAGCTGAAAGTTGAAGGCAAAACTGGTAAGGAAACTGTGATTAAAGTGGAAAGATCAGACGTCAAGTGGGCCAGTATATCCAAACTTTTTGAAGGGCTTACACTTGATCACTTTGAATCGCGAGAGAAACAGATTATTGGTAAGCTCCTAAGTATAAAAAAATTTGTTAGATTAGGGTACATGTTATACATGGGCTGTTAGTGTCAAATTTTGTACATAAGATTCCATCAGGTATGTAAAGGATTGTGAGGGTTCCTGTCCCTCTATTTAATACAAATCTTCATTTAATTACCCAAAATACAAAAACCCTAGACTTCAGCTCAATATTCACAAATCAATTCAAATGGTTATCCCAAGAATGTTAAATTTGGAATAACAAGGTACTAAAAAAGAAACCCAACATCAGTTAATTTATAAAAAAGCATTACAGAGGTAAGTTGAATCAGAGAATTACTAACCATCTCTTTCTACATCTGAATCGTGATCATAGTCATAATCATAATCATCATACATGTCATAGTCTTCATCATAATCAAGGCCATAATTTACTTTTCGAGGCATTTTCCTGAAAAAAAGAAAACAGAGAATGAAAAAGATAGATCCAATTAAATTTCCAATAAGCAAAATGAAAGGAGATACAACAAACCTACACAGTGAAACATCCTAATGGTCAATGCAACATACAACATATCCAGACTTGTCAAGGTTTATTTGAACCATAAAAACCAGCATACCCTGAAGACTTGTGGCACAAAAAAGATTATTAAAAATCCCCTGTCAAGACAGTGATGAAGCTATTGACACTGAAAGCATCTTGAAGATGGTCTGTTGTCCATTTCCACGAGTTAAGCACTTATTATATGTGATGCAGGTAATTGCAGTGGCAAGCAGGAGTAATTTATTTTAATAAAGTGGCATCCCCATAATAATTCCTGGTCATGGCATGGAAAATAGGATTCACAGCTAAGGATTATCGCCTTTTCCATCTGAAAAGAAGTTGCACAGGAAGACTTCTCATGAAAGACACTGCCCATATACAGAGAAATGTCATCAGTTCCTAATTAATTTCATGTTTCATTTTTTTATAAGCAAAACAGAACTATTTATTTAGAACCAATAAGAATGGAAATGACACCATGCAGATACAAAACATGTTGCATAAACCCTCATTGGCCAAATAAGCTTTTGGGGAAAGTAATCTTTGATAGTCCACATGATATTTCAAGTCCTCATTGGGCAACCAAAGCACTCAACCAACATGCAATGGAGTTTATTGCTTTCCTATTCAATCTTTAAACATTTCTACCAATGAAACACAATTATAACAAAAGAGTGCCAAAAAAGTGGAAGGAAACTAATGCCATACTTGGTTCAATTCTCATTCTTGTTCATTCTTGCCCAGAATGAGATTTTAGAATGGACAAGAATGGGGAAAATAAGAAAGTTTTGTTGTGATTTGTGAACTAAACTCTTTTTTCCAAATAAAAAAAAAAAAAAAGATTTTTTTTTGTGGCAAGAATGGAAATGACTTTGAACACGTTTGGTTACAATTTTCATTCTCAATCCTTTCTTTTGTCAACTAAAATAATATTTGGGCAGCAGTTAGGGGTGATCATTTGCAGCCCAGCCCAAATGCCTGCCCCAACCTAGTTTGAAAACTTTTGGGCTTGGGCCTAGGTTGTGTTCAAATTGGACCAGGCCCAAACCCACATCATAAACAAGAATAGGTGTGTTAAATGAAAATTATTGTTATTAATGGTGGAAACCGCTGGAAATAAAAAATAAAAAATAAAAAAAAATAAATAAATAAATAAAGTCTATCCCGTAACCAATTAGCGATTTGACCAGTTAGATCACTGGGTCATTGACTGAATCAACACTATCGCAAGTAAGCAATTTGGGGGGTGAAAATGACTAGGAAATCCGTTTAGGTAACATGTAACCACATACTGAAAACATTGATAATCACCTATTGCATGGGTCACACACACAAAACCTAATTTATGTGATTTTTTGAAGGGTAAAATGAAGGATTTCATTAAACAATAACAAAGTTACAATCTGAGAGGTGTCAAGGTGACACCTCAACAATACAATTCAGAAACAGACTAGAATACAGAGAACTGGTCGACATTACAAGCTTGGATTTCAAGAACATTCCAGAAGTTCTCCCAAACCTGATCAAACTCTGGAAGCACCAATACCCAGTTCGACACTAGCTTCCCAACCAAAGCTGCTAAAACTTCCATATCCTTGGACTTATTCTCAAACAACCTTTTATTTCTTTCATTCCAAATGACCCAACACATAGCAAATGGGATACACCTCCATACTATCCTTGTTTTCCTGCAGACATTGAATCTTGGCCAAGAAGAGAACAATTCTGCTGAAGATCTTGGCTGAAATACTCTGACCCCAAGAAAGGAAGGAAGAAAATTTCCAAAAAAATCTTGCAATCTTAAACAAGTAGAACAAATGGCAATCTCTTCATCCAAACAGAACAGATAGCAGTAACTTGCCATATTGAAACCTCTGCTCTTCAGGTGATCTGAAGTTAGGATGCTGTCCAAAGCTACCAGCCATGCAAAAGCTTCCACTCTAGGAGGAATAGGATTACCCCACACACCTTCCATTTGATCAGAGACCAGCTGATCCCTTACCAAAGCCAAATAAAAAGATTCAAACAGTAAATTTTCCTTCCCCGCTTTCTTTCCACCATAGCCCATCCCTTGAGAAAGCTGAAACATTTGCCGAAGTCTTTCCAGCAACTGTATACATTCTTCTAGAAGAATGTAAATAAGTGGTACAATGACAGGAATACCCTTGATCCATCTCCCACCTTAAAGCTAACAAATGCTCTAAGTTCTTGGTTGAAATGCATTTATTCCTTTCCAGACACGAACCCCATATGAATTTTACACCTCCCTCAATTCCCACCCAAACCTCACCACCCCATATTTCCCAACTACTACCCTCCTCCAAAGGGACTCCCTCTCCTTCTCTGACCAAAACCCCCATAACCATACCCAAGAGGGCCTTTTTAAAGATTATTACCCTTCTAAACCCCAGCCCACCTCTGTCCTTGGGTCTACACACCTTACCCCACTTTACTAAATGAAATTTCTTAGGACCCCCCACCTTTGTAATTGCATGATATAATCAGCCATTTTTTGTTATAAAGTGATAAAACACATGAATTAGGAGAGGTGATAAAACACATAAACTAGGAGTGTATGTGTTTTATTACCCTATAACAAAAAATGGCTGACTATATCATGTACTAAAGGAAGTCATGTTCATTTTCACTAGACAGATTGGTCTACTTAAAAATGTGTTGGACAGCATCTTCAGTTCGGCCACCATTTGCACTATCTTGTAGTCATAAGGCATTGATGACCATCAATGAAATCCAAACTAGGAAACAAGAAAATTTATAAGTTGTTTGAAACCAAGGAGGTTCAGACCTGTTTAGAAAACAAAGATGAAGAGAAGGGAAGAGAAGAGAAGAGAAAGGAAGAAAGAGGAGGAAGAGAGAATAGAAGAGAAAAGAGGGGTTCGGTCAGGCTTAGTCTACCGCCCCAAGTGATATTTAAAATAGGTCTTCAATTATAAGTGGTACAATGACAGGAATACCCCTGTCACTAGAAACAACAGAAAAGGCAAAGGAACATCTTGAGCAAACACACCCGGCTCACCACTCTCCCCCCTGAGGTGAAACTCTAGGGTAATAGGGGACATCTTCAAAGAAGGTGACATCCATAGATACAAATCTGGTTCTCGAGACAAGGTTATAACAACAATACCCCTTTTGATTTTGTGCATACCCCAGGAAGATACATTTGGCAGCCTTAGGATCAATTTTTGAACAGGTAGGCCCAAGGATTTGGACAAAATAAGTGCAACCAAAGGTTTTGGGAAGAACAGAAAACTGCTCCTTATCAGGATATAACAAGTTAAAAGGAGCTTTCATGTCCACGACTCATGATGGAATCCTATTAATGAGATAAACAACAGTAAGAACGGCATCCCCCTAGAAACAAATAGGAACATTAGTATTCAGCATGATGCTTCTTGCAACTTCAAGGATGTGCCTATTTTTTCTCTCAGCAACACCATTCTGCTGAGGTGTATGAGGACAAGTGCTCTGATGAATCACTCCATGTTCAAGGAGATAAGAAGATAAGGGTTTTGCAAAATATTCTTTGGCATTATTAGATCTGAGATTTTTTATTTTAACCCCAAAATGAGTCAGGATCATTTGATGAAAAATGCGGGTCAAAGTGGGAACCTCATCCCGAGAGTGCATGAGGTAAACCCATGAAAACCGAGAGTGGTCATCAACAAACAATAGAAAGTATTTGTACCCACCCATAGCAGGAATATGATAGGCCCCCCAAACATCAGTATGCACAATTTCAAAAGGAAAAAAAACTTCTTCTATTACTTTGTGGATAAGTTGATCTACAATGCTTTGCCAACTCACAACTCTCACACTTCAAACTGGACACTTGGATTGGCTCAAACAAATTAGGAAAAAAAACTCCTTAAAGACCCAAAAGATAGATGACCCAATCAACCAAAGCATAATCTGACTCATAGACTATGATACAAAAGACTTCCCAGCTAATTGATCAAAAAAAAAGACTTCCCAACTTCTTTACTCTTCCCAGGTGGATGTTCAAGCAAGTAGATCCCATTCATCTCACGGCCAGTCCCAATCACCTTCCTTGTAGCCAGATCCTAGAAAAGACAATAATCAGGGAAAAAGGTCATAGAACAGTTCTGGTGTTTAGTGATACTACTGACGGAAAGCAGAACCGAGAATAAAGAAATAGCAACAGAGACATTGATGTCTCCCTTGCCTAAAATAGGGACAAGAGAGCCATTAGCAATAGACACTTTTGTCTCTACCAGAGGACAAGCAATAGAAATAAGGAAGATAAACTGGTCATATGATCAGATGCACCTGAATCTACAATCCAAAAATGGCTAGTGTTACCTGGGGTAGAGGCATGAAAGGAAGTGGCCTTTGTACCTGATTGAGCAAAAGCAGAAGTGGACGGAGGAGTAGAATGAGACTGTCCAGAGAAGCAAACTTCACTCTCCAGTTGAGATAAACCAGCCATAATAGCAGCCAATGCATCAAGAGAACTGGATCTAGTGTTGGGTGTGGATGAAGCTCCTGTGGTTATAGCTGCATTAGCATTTCCTTTCTTGTTCCTAAGTCTTTCTGGAATTAGTTGAGGATGAAGCTTCCAACAAGTGTCCTTAGTATGTTTTGGCTTCTTACAGTAGTCACAAAACACATCCCTCTTTCCATCCTTCTTTACATCCCTCTCCTTATCACACCTCTAATCTTTGGTTTTATGGCTGCTAAAGCTGATTTCATAGATGGAATTTGTAACACAACTTTTCTTCTACTTTCCTCACTATGTACCAGAGAGTAAACTTGAGATAAAGAGACACTATCTCTAGTGAGAAGTTGTTGTCTTACAATGTCATAGTCAGAGTTTAGCCCAGCCAAGAATTCAAACACTATTTTTCTCAACTAATTTCCTATATGTGGCAGCATCTTTCTGGCTCTCCCACTCAATAGTCTCAAGATGATCAATCTCATACCTCAACGATTTCAAGGTAGAGAAATAAACTAACACAGATTTCTCTGCCTGTTAAGATTATTCACCTCAATTTTCAGTTCGTAGGCTCTAACAACATGAAGGGGCTAAGAATAGGCTTCTTTCATATTGTCCCAAATTTCCTTAGTTGTCTTTGCCCAAAGATAGTTTCTACTGATATGAGGCTGCATGGAGTTGCATAACCAAGTCATAACCAAATAATTTTCTTGGACCCATTTAGCAAGGGATAGGTCCTCCTGTGTTGGTGTCTTTGTGTCTCCCATCACATACCCCAGCTTTCCCCTCCTTCCAATGGCCATCACGGCTGATTGGGCCCATTCCAAATAGTTTGTCCCATCAAACTTGACTGTAGTAATCTGAAATGAACTACTGTCAATAGAGTTTCCAAATCCTACAAGTCCTCCATTTGGTTTGTTCTCATATCTAGCCATTTCCATGTTGAAATGGACAAAGGATATTCACTGAATGGAGAGAACAGCACTGTCCAAACTCCTTTTCCAAACAGAAATTCCTAGTACTGTCCAACAGCACCCAAAGAAAATAAAAAGGATTCAGAGGCCTTTTTACGAACACAAGGTGGGCAATAGAGGTGACCAACACTGTCAAAACAATACAGTGCAGAAGAACAGTCCGTAAAGAAGCACTAAAACAATCCTAGAGAACATCCGAACAGCTGTACTGATTCCAGAAAAATTTCAGATGCTTAACAGTCCAAAAAAGTATGAAAAACAACCGAGAAAATACTGGGCACCACTCTCAATCTCTTATTTAAGCTCTAAATCAGAAACCAACCTGTTTTCTCCGATTCTTCCTGGTCACCGTACAGCTCTCCAAGTATTCTGAACCTTGGGCACCTTCTTCAATCTCTAATGACCTCCAAGAACCAGGCGAATCAAGCTGAAACTTCCAGCCCTAGAAATACTCTCATGTAGTCGGCTGGACTACACCTACATAAGAGCCCTAACCAGTTTTAGGCCTGCTTTGATACCAAGTTTTCTGAAACCAAGGAGGTTCAGACCTGTTTAGAAAACAGAAAAGAAAACAGAGATGAAGAGGAAGAGGAAGAGGAAGAGGAAGAGGAAGAGGAAGAAGAGAAAAGAGGGATTCGGTCAAGCTTAGTTTGCCGCCCCAAGTGATATTTAAAATAGGTCTTCAATAATAAGTGGTACAATGACAGGAATACCCCTGTCACTAGAAACAACAGAAAAGAGTATTCTAACAGTATAAAAACATATGAACAAGTGGAGGACCACAAGCTGGTCAACCATTTTCTCTACATTATACAAATTGTATCTTCATTATCATCTACGTTATCCTAGAAATAGAATAGATCATTGATCACCATCAAATGATGGACTCCAATCCCTCTATCTATGCCAAAATTATGGAACAGGAAGTATTTGTTACTAACTCTCTACCGTCTCAAAATAGCATTCCCTTTGTTGAATTTCCATGCTAAAACTGTTATTCTTATTCTCATTTATAAGCAATCACTATAACAGTACTTTGTTTCAGTGACAATAGCTGATGCATATTTCCCTTTGGACTCATCCTCTTGCAGGGTTCTTTGGCACTCACATCTCAGAGTTCAAGATCTGTCAAATACAGAGAACAATTTGATGGAACATCTGAGAAAGCTAGTTTTGGAAGCAACCCAGGTTCAATCCAACAACATCAATTTCTAGAAAGTAACATAGAATTCACATCAGCTTATTCAAAATTGCACAAACAACAGAAAGGTTCAAATAATGGAAGCTCAGTTTCAACAAATCCCAGCAGTTTCCCTCAAGGTTCTCAAACTCTTACAACTCTTACACCCATTCAGTATGACAAAGAAATTTGGAAATTGCAACAAGGGAACTACCCCTTAGAATCAAACTCAAATTCAGGGAAGCAGAGCGCATTCTTTGGCTTTGAGCTCCCAAACAAGTGATGACGATGGGTATAAGAAACCAAATACCTCGGTTCATGGATGTAACTGCAAGGGGTGGGAAGGGTTCAACTTTTTTGGGCTGTGTTGTAATTTGTAATTCCTGTCACTTGCTCCAAATTCAGTAGATATATATCAAAAAATGAGTATAATATAAAAATAAGAATACAAAATAAAAAATTAAAAAATGGCCAAGCAAGGGGTGGGAAGAGTTCAACTTTTTTGGGCTGTGTTGTAATTTGTAATTCCTGTCACTTGCTCCAAATTCAGTAGATATGGAGTACGAACATTACTTATTGCTTATTCAGTGAACTAATCATACTAACCACCCAAAACAATAGCAGTTCTCCAAATTAAATAAGCAAACGTTTTTTCCCTGTCATTCCTTCCTGTGAAAATGAAGGAGAAAGAAATCATGCTATCTCGTTTGCTTATGAAGAAATAGAGTTTATGACCAGTAGACTTTCTGATAATAAAAGCTCTTCTTTTTTCCTTGTCATTCCTTCCTGTTTGATGTTTTCGTGAGGCAAAGCTAGGATTAAACCAAACAAGCATAAAGGACTATAACACAGAGCAATGCGCATTGAGCTTCAACAGCATATCCCTCTCACTCATTTATTTTCTACAAATAGTCACAATGAAAATTACCAATTTCTTGTTGACCATGAGGCCAACCCTTTTATCAGATAAAAAGCTTAAATATTTCAAGAGAAGAAGAGGAAAAAGAGAGAAGGGATGAAGAGGCATACGCAAAAAATTGAGAAAAATTAATAGAGATGATGACTCAGGTACCAGAGATCATCAGCATCAGCGGCGGAGAGCTTTACCAATGAAGAGAGAAGACATCATTGCGAGAAAACGCCGTGAGATTCGAAAATTTTGCTGGAGATAGATTTCTTTTGTGCTGCGGTCTTTACTGATTTTTCGCTAATAGCCCATTTCCCATTCTGAAAAAAAAATGAGGCTCTTTCTTACCCAATATGAAATTTTGTGCTGTGGTATCCACTGCTTTCACCGATTAATGTCCTAAATGGGAAAAAAACAAATTAGATGAACAGAGATCAGACATAACCTCGCAATCTAATAGAGAGAGAAGGAGAGGGAGAGAGATCGCTCCTACCATAACGCGGGAGAGAGATCGTTATTACCATGCTCGAAGACTTCCGTGAATAGAGAGAGTGAGAAGGGAGGAGAAAGGCAGAAAGCAGATTGTATAACAGAATAAAGTCGAAGATTGGAAGCTTGTAGTACGATTATTATTTGTGATGCAAATAAATATATATGATTTTGAGAAAATTTCATATTAGTACCCTGTAGTAGGGGTGATCATGGGCCGTGCTTTGCCTTCGTAACAACGGGCTTAGGCTGGGTCTGGGCCCGACCCGGCCCATATTATGAGCTTAAAAATATAAGCCTAGGCCCGGGTCGGGCTGGGCCAAGATTCCAAGCCTAATTATAGCATTCTAGTTCTATAATTAAATAATTGTATTTTTTTCACTTATTATCGTGGAGATTATTGTACCCTTTAAGAAACTTTAAACTTAATATCAAGATAAAAGCTTTTAACATAAAAGAAATTAAATAATTATACCTTATAATTTATAAGTTTTAATTGGTCATTAGTATGCTAAAAATGATAATTTTAATAAACCAATTCTTCTATCAACAAAAAATCAACCTATAACCTATATATAATATCTATCAAAAAATAACCATCCATTGTCATGTAATACCCAGAAAACAACTGTAAACATCTCTATAAGGGGCTCTAGCTTACATTCGACTCTTACAAATCAAAAGTGAAATAAAAAAGATATTAGCAAATTAAGAAAAATAGTTTAAATTAATGTAAATAAATAAGTAATCAAATATGGAAAATGGTTTCAATTTTACCCAAAACTTGAAACCACTCTAAACTTCATATTTATCTTCATCAATGGAGTCTTCATCCCTAGAAGATTCGTCTTTTGGTGAGAGAGAGATTGGGCAGTGGTTTTGTGAAATTGGTGAAAGAAAGAGAGAGCTGAGAAGATTAGGGTTTACTAATTTCTATATTTCATTAAATACTATATTAGAATTTGGTAAGATCTAAGACTATTGGATTAAAATCTTTAATCTCCTACAAATCTTTAATAATCTCTATTTAATATATAAAACATCAATTATCAAATATTTTAAATAACATATATACATAAAGATATATATTATTTATAAATATCCGGGTCGGGCCTAAAAAATTAGGCCCAAGCCCGGCCTTAAGTTTTGTAGACCCGGGCCCGGGATGAGCCTTAACAAAAAACCGAGGCCCAAGCCAGGCTAAAATGATCACTCCTACCATGTAGTTTAGGGGTAGTCTCATTTTAATACCTTAACATCAAAACGTGCTATTGCAATACCTGATTTTACGAAAACTGTCCATTTAGGGCGTGCTCATTTCCTCTTAACTCTCATCTCTTAAGATGAATCTTTTAACTTTAAGAGAAAGATGGTTGTTCATTTCCTCTTATCTCTTATCTCTTAAAGTGTAATTATACAACTTTTTGTTTTCCAATGATACCCCCAAAAAGACAAACAAAAACTCTAATATATGGGGTCAAAATGGATATTTGATAATTTTCAAAATTCAGAACAACATTCTTTACATTCAAAGTTCAAAGGAAAGAAAAGTTCACCGATACCAATATACCTCTTAATGTAATTATTACACTTTCAGATGTGAGACTTCAGAGCAAACGAACAGGCCCATAATCACCGATGTTAACAGTCTATCAGTCATTTATATCACATGATGACATGTGTGACTTAAAAGTTTTTAAAATGTCAAAACTACTCTTCGAAAGAAGACATTGTTCACAGTCTTTTACCTTAAGTTTGAACCAAAATAAACGCTATTCACCTCTTAAGTCGTCATCGTGTTCCTTTGGACGGCCTTCAGCCCTCCGTTTATGCAACCTCCGCTTGGAGGACTTGAGCACAAAGGCGTAACCATTTCCAATCTGGCCTGGGTGGTTTATGATGATGACCTAAGAGGTGAAATTGGCAGCTTCCTTTGTAGGATCATCCTTGGAGTTGGATATGGTTTAAACTGGGGTGGTTAACTATGGATAGAAGTAGTTGACATGGCCACTTTGCCTACCTGAAATCTAACAGGAATTTGAAATTAGATCACCTAAAGGAAAATTCTCCACTGTAGTTGTAGGTTGCTGTTTAAGTAAAAATAGAGACAAGGGATGCATTTTTCAATTACAATAGAGTATAGAGGATGTGAGGATTTGAACTCAAAAGACAAAATTGAAGAAAAAGAAACAACAAATCGGAAGTTCTAGACAAGGATTCTCAGCCTAACTCGTAAATGGAGGATGCAAAAAAAGTTTTTCTTGGCAAGTAGAGTAGATTGGCACCCAAAATTTAGCTACCATGTAACACTTGAGGAATTAATTCTTCCTCTGACTATAACTCGATGTTGCCACCTGTTGTTTTCTCTCCATTAGGTGATTTTGCATTCACCACAAAAGTTCAGTATCAAAAACCAATGCTGCTCCACCTGTGATGGTAGGCGAGGAACGTTAAGTCCCATAACCAAGTTTTGCAAGTATTTTCAACTTCCTCCACCCCCCCCCCCACACACACACATTCGCAAAAGCCATTGGTTCCATCCTTTAATAACTTGTCCACTTCCAAGCTCAAACTCAATTGTGTCACCTCTTTCAAAACTGGAATCAAAGATAGTCTCATCTATGAGTTTGCCCTGGTAGTGTACTTTGATTCTATCACCTTTGTGAACCTGAGCATCACATGATTCTAACTTAAACTTCACACCGATATGCAGCTCCATAAGGTCACTAGATTTCTAATAAGTTGAAACAAAAAATGTTGAAAACAACTCATTTGGTGGCTGGAAATTGTAATTTATTCATTTTTGTCAATCATTTCAATGTCATAGCTCCTAAGAAATTCAAGAGAAGAAAGGCATCAACTCATCTTAGAGCCTTGATTAGTTCAATTGTAGTCCCACTACAAGATAACACCAAAATAGATGAACACTTTGTATGCCAATTATTGAATCTCTCAAATAATTCTTATTCATCTCACCAAACTTAAGAACTTATCCACAAGGATCGTTTACAGGAAAGCAACATATATCTATACTTGTTTCCAAAGAATTTGCAACCTGCTTTATGAAACTAGAAGGGTGCATTTGACATGAATAAGTTCAATATCTATACTTGTTTCCAAAAAATTTGCAACCTGCTTTATGAAACTAGAGGGGTGCATTTGACATGAATAAGCTCAATTAGGTTGGAAGTCACATACCCACGCTTCAGATCCTTCATTGCAGCGTTCTTCACGTTGAACCCAACATTGTCACCAGGAAGGGCCTCCTGGAGAGCCTTGTGGTGCATCTCAACCAACTTTCGTGCTCGTCACTACTATTCATCTGAGAAAGCCATGGTGCTGAAAGGATGGTGTCTACATGTGCTTCAAAGATAATGTTGGGGTGATTGTGATATGAATCCCAAGGGAGAAATGAAAGGGTCTGCTATCACTAGAATAATTGGAAAGGAGTGTGCAGACTTGTGGCCAAGGTAGAAGACTTTGCAAAATGAATATACAATTTCCGTCCTCAGTCTCAAGGTCATTGTCTTCTTTTTTGAAGGGTAGTTTTGACATTTTCATAAGTACCTGAGGGACCATTAATGACAAGGACTAAAATGACAGTTTTTGAGAATTCAGGTATTGTAGTGGCACATTTTGAAGTTTCATTAATGTATAACATTTTTTTAGTTGAATACTCTTTATGTCCTTCATCCTTGCTTGTTCTTTCCCAAATGAGTAAGAATTAAAAGAATGAGGTCCATAGCAGTGAATCAAACATGACCTTATGTTGATATGTGCATATGAACAAGATTTAGGATATCTTCCTTTTAAAGAAACATGTGCATCAATTGGTTTCTTTCTCCCTAGTACTGATCAAACAATGCATGATTTTACATGCTTCAGTGGAGCCATGCCAATATAGCCACCTTGGAACTCATTGGTAACCTTTATAGTTAGTTCTTCGAACTAACTCAAAAAACACAAACCCCATTGTATCTGAGAATAACAATGATAAAATAAGGGTCAACAATGTGTTAAAACTTATGAGGAAACTCGAAATAGCCTCTAGGAATAGTCTATAAAGTATGAGTCAAGGCTGAGAGTGGATATTTGCAATATCTACTGTCAATCTACCCATCAACAAACAAAAGGGAGATAGAATTTACACCTAATACAAAGAAGACAAGCTGGGTAATAGCATCTACAACAAGAAAAGAAAAGGTTGCAATGGCAAAGCAACCAATTTGTATGGGAAGCAGGGATGCAACCCCAAGCACAAACCAATATTGGAAAAAAAAATTCAACGAGAGAAAGTGCTCATGATAGAAACAAATCTATTTTTGTACCATTTCTATATTTGAACGTCTAACTTTGCAAGAGAATAAGTGGCAACAGAATTTAGGTGGAAGAGATTAGCATAGACAACTTAAGAGGAAAAGGTAAAATCAAAACTTTTTAAAAGTTTGAGGCATCAACCTAACTCCTTTCATTTATATACTAGAGAATAACCCTCCCTCCCCGATATTGAGCATGAGGCCATTATTTTGATTTTTTGTTTATGTATTCTAATAATTTTGTTTTATTATTTTAATTGACCTTTTATGTATAGATTTATTATTTAAATTAAGAGTTCAATTAGGTTATATCTCTAAATAATAACCCACTTCATGGATCCCACAGAATTTAAAATATGTTTTTATTTTTATTTTTTACTTTTTAATGGAGATAACTACCACCAACTTTTTTCAGAGTGGAGATAACTACTATTTGAGTGGGTAGGCACATGTCTGAGGAAATAAGCTTTTTTTTAGAGTGGAAATTTAACACTTTTAAGATGTAATTTCTTGAGAAAATAAAATGCCACTTGAATAATATTAATTAAAGATTTGCTTACTTGGTTAGTATTTTTTATTTATTTTTAAAAGAAACTAATCTATAATTATTTTTCTAAAAATACTTTTTTATTGCAACATCTCAACTACTTGTAAATAGGTAGTCATGAAGGTTCCATGTACACAATTATTATCGCCATTGTTGTTCTATATTATTATTATTATTAATCATCATCATCATCATCATCATCATTATTATTATTCTTTACTCTATGTAAAACCAAATATATAAGAAAACTAACCCTAAGGCAATGTTTGGT